TTCAGTGCATTAGTGCTTTAGAATTAGCTTTTGCTAAAACATTCAGTGCATTAGTGCTTTAGAATTAGCTTTTGCTAAACCTTTAAATACATTAGTGCTTTAGAGTTAGCTTTTGCTAAAACTTTCAGTGCATTAGTGCTTTAGAGTTAGCTTTTTCCAAGACTCAGTGCATTAGTGCTTTAGAGTTAGCTTTTGCTAAAACTTTCAGTGCATTAGTGCTTTAGAGTTAGCTTTTTCCAAAACTCAGTGCATTAGTGCTTTAGAGTTAGCTTTTGCTAAGACTTTCAGTGCATTAATGCTTTAGAGTTAGCTTTTGCTAAAACTTTCAGTGCATTAGTGCTTTAGAGTTAGCTTTTGCTAAGACTTTCAGTGCATTAGTGCTTTAGAGTTAGCTTTTGCTAAAACTTTCAGTGTATTAGTGCTTTAGAGTTAGCTTTTGCTCAAACTTTCAGTGCATTAGTGCTTTAGAATTAGCTTTTGCTAAAACTTTCAGTGCATTAGTGCTTTAGAATTGGGAAACCTTAATATTTGAGTTAGTGTTTTAGGGCTAGTGGAACAAATTTATAGATTAGTGCTGCCCACCACTGGAAACCAGTCACTCTAACTAAAATCAGCCAGAAGAAACTAAAATCTGTTTGTTAAATTAAACAGCTTCAACTAAAGAAATTGGAACAAGTCAGAGAAGAGGAGTATGTGATCGGAAGGTTGCCGGTTCAACTCCCCAAACGGACCAGCCGCACTTTGGGCCCCTGAGCAAGGCTCTTAGCTGCTCTCTGCGCTGTAATTGGCAGCCCACTGCTCCACATGTGTGTTCACATGTATCCACATGTGCGATGGGTAAAATGCAGAGAATTAATTTCCCCTCTGCGGGACGATAAAGACCAATAAAATCTAGAACTATTAAAAAATGGAGTCTTTGTGACAGACTGATGGTAAAAAATTAAAAACAGATTTTATTTGAAGAAGTGGAGCCTGAACAGGTCAGGGTCAGACCAAACAGCTCACTAACAAAGACTTTCACCCACCTGGTAGTTGTTTTTCTTGCAGCGTTTCTTCAGCCTGTCCACGTGGTCCATGACGTCTAGCACCCACTTCTCATTGAGGGGGGCGCACAGGTTCCTCCCAGTTCTGGTCACAAGTCTGCAAGGACAGAGAAATGGTTGAGCTTCAGTGACGCAGTGATGGGATCCCCAGGTCCAGCTGGTGGAGCAGACTCACATCTTGGCTGCAACTGAGCAGCCTTTAGCCTGGTCCTGGTAGTCCACGATCCGCCCTTTTCCTATTGATTTCTGAGACACAGAAAGGCAGCAGTCTATGGCCATCTGCGCTCGAGTCACTGAAAGAGACGAGTTTTCATATTAAACATCGTTTAAAGTTGGAAGCTCCAGCTCAGTGTCATCAGGAACATTGAGGCTTATCGATCATTCTTATTCTTATTATTCAGATAATTTTCTTCCGCATGTTTTTGTCACGTGTATCCTTCCACAGTTTTTGCGCTATTTCAACAATTCATATATCAAAACGTTCAGCTCGTTCAGGACATTCCAGCTATTACTTTTGGTTTTTCAGCAACTTACACTTTTTGACATATTTAACTTTTTCAGACATTTATTTCTCATTGAAAATGAATGGAGATGTTTTCAACAAAAACTCTTTAAAATGTTCATAAACTTTTCCTGAACTTTTGTTCTGGTTCTGTTTTACTGGTTTATTTTTATATTTTGTGTTTGTTTGTGTCTGTTGACTTCCGTTGAGTTGATTTGAGATTTTTTTTCCTGCTTTTTAAAATACTGTTTTGACTTTTTTGGCAATTCTTCTGCTAATTTACACTTTTGTTTCTTTCTGCTAATTTATGCCTTTTCTGCTTTTTTCAGTTGCTTTCTACTAATCAGTGTTTTACTGTTTCTCTTTAATATTATTCAACTTATTCCGTCTTCTTCCACGTCGCCACGCTACCCCTCCTGCATACTTTGTCCTACAGCTGCCATTGTAATTTCTATCTGTAAAGGTCCTGTGCCACTTGATTGCTATGCCTTCTGGTGCCTGTACAACTTGTAGTTTTTGAAATATTAATGTTTAAACTTTATTCAAAAATTCATTTAATTGGAGCCAATGGGGCCTTGTAATGGTCCAATACTGCCCCATGCTGGACTCAACTCGGTACTGCTCCATACTTTAATAATATTTAATCTCAATTGTTCAGTGTTTACAATACTAATATGATTGTATTTTGATATTTTACTATAATAGTGTCTTAATACTTCTCTATTGTTGTAATATTATGCATTTTTGTCAATAATTGTATTGGCAATGTGGCCTCTTTCTGCACACATACAAACCAACCCCTGCCACCATCTTCTGCCACAGCTCCATTGGTCTAATGGTCTATGTCATGGACTTTCATGTGGGAGATCAGGTTTCAAAACCCAGCTAATGCAACTTTAACAAAAAATCTCCACCAACTTCATATTGTCACACAATTACCTTATTACAAACACCTGCTGATGTGACAGGCACAAGCTGGTATAGAAAACACATTTGAACTTGGTCAAAGTTCCTTCTGCAAGTCCAATGCTGCAGGCAAAGCCATGCTGCAGTGACATGCTACATGGCAATGCACACTTGTTTTTACATCGTAAAAACTCATGTCTAGTTTCTGCTGCTTTCTGTTTTTTGCTACTTTTTAGCTAGTTTCAGCTATTTCAGCTACCTTTTTAGCTATTTTATGCTAGTTTCAGCTTTTTCCAAAAGAAATAGCAAGTTTTTCTCGTTGCACTTTTCTTGATTTTTGCTCATTTGAAAAATAAATCACACATTGTTCATTTTTATTCTATTTTAGCTTCCTTTTGCTAATTTTAGCTACTATTTTCTATTTTCAGACTCTTTTAAATTCTTTTTTTTAACTATCTTTCTACTGATGTTTCACTTAGTTTTCCTACTTTCAGCAGAGCTGCTGTTCAAATGGAACTCACATTAACAGTTTTGCTGTCAAACATTTTCAACTTGATTTCAGAAATTTTTTTTTCATCTTTAAGCTTTAATGCTTCATTTTTGCAGGAAATGCTGAAGCTCGTTATCTGTACCCATGTTTGGTCTTTCTTTAAAGCCAGTTTTGTCTAATTTGAACTGTTTCTCCTGTGTGTAACTTTCTTTTTATCATTAAATACAGAGAGTTCTCATTAAAAAGGGAAACTCCTTGTTTTAGCCTGCAGATAAAACCATAATAAATCTTCCAGCCTGCAGGTCAGTTTAGTTAATGTAAAACAAAGGTCTGGTTTATTATTTGATGCAGTTTGTGTTTTTGTGTCGTTTGGCAGCAGAGCGTGAGGCGAGGTGTGTTTCTGGTACTTTCCATCCATCGCAGCCTGACGCTGTGAAGCATCACAGCAAATCAGTCCAAAGATTCATGATGAAAACATTTATCTGGACCCGAGCGCAGAACGAGTCGTTCGTTCTGACTCTGAGTCGAGGACAGAAGTGTGAAAACTCAAAGTCGTGAAAACAACAGGAAACTCAGTTTATCTGAGAAATGCTTCTTTGAGAGTTTTAACCAGAAAGCTAAATGTTTTTGTTTCTTTCTGCCAAAAACTAAAATCAAGCTTCAGTTTGTTTTCCCTCAGGATGAACTGCATCCTACCTGCACATCATCCCACCTCGTCTATAAAAACACACCAGTTTCTGTCAGTTTTAATGTTTAACTGGGAGTTTCGGCTGCTAAACTTTAGCTGTTATTTATCTGAGTGAATGTGGGGGAAAACCATCACCACACCTTGAAATCTGAACTACCTTCATTCTATTCAACACAGCCTTCATTCTCTCTGAGTTTAGTTTTAAAGGATTTTTCTTGAACTTTTTGTCTTTCATATTGTTTTTATCTGTTTCCCTCCCTGAAAAACAATGAATTTCTTCACCTGTTGATGGATTTTCTTCCTCTTTTGAAAATAATCATTAAAAATGTTTAAATGTTTTGTGTCAAACTGGAGCAGAGAAACAACATTTAACAGTTTAAATATTTTAAATATATTAAAATGTTTCTTCTGCAAATAAGAGTCGAGAATAAAAAGTTTTTTGTTTTTTCTTGCTAAAGCATTTCGGAGTAAAGATGTAAAAAGTAAAGACTTACTTGAGCAGCAGAAGGTGATGAAGAGGATGCAGGAGAAGAGGAGTTTGGAGTCAGCCCACAGAGCCATATCTGATCCAGCTGATGAAGCTGCTGTTTCTTCTTCTCTGGGACAGAAAAGTGTCAGAGTCTCTCTGCATCCTGGTCTTTATAGAGCAGCCGGTCGACACTTTCAGTTTTAGTTTTTCACTCCTCTCCTCCTCTTACTGTCAGCACAGAATCTGCAGGTCAAACTGCACCCAGACGCCCCTTCTGAGAAGAACTAAATCAAAAAAATAACATCTGTTTCATTCAGACACAGAAAGAAAGGGGGTTTACATATCAGGAAATAATTAAACTTATTCAGTCTTTATCAGTTTCTAAAGCATTTAAATTAAACCTGAAAATAAAGAAAAACAACGTATTCCATCAGGTCATTATTTATTAAATGAAAAACAAAACGTGAGGGAGAAAAACAGGTTTCAGCTCCTGATCCTGCAGCTGCATCTTGTGGAGCAGTTTTGACGCACTTCTCTTTCCAACTTAGCTTAAAGTACCTGTGGCATGAAATGTTTTAATGAATTTAGGAAATAACACATTAATAACATGATGCAAATAAAATTTCACACCACTGGAATGAAGAGTTGTTGAGATATTCACGTGTGAAGCAACAGGAAGTGATGTCAAAGGGGAATGTCTGCGTTTAAACAGAGCAGTGCTAACAGCTAACAGCTAACAACACAGACTGTAGAGAAGAATCTGATGTTTCTTTAGATTATTATGAGTGTCTATCAGAAAGATGAAAATGTAATATGTTCTCTTTTTCTTGTGCCAGTTAGAAATCGGGCTGCTGCATTCTGAACCCTTTGTAAACGAGCAATGGAGGACGGGCTGATTCCATATAGCACAGCATTACAGTTATCCAGCCTGGATGTGATGAACACATGAATTACTGTCTCCAGATTTCTTTTTGACAGGATGGGTTTTAACTTGGACAGTCTCCTCAGCTGAAAAAAAAACAACAGGATTTAACAATGGAGTTTGCATGACTGTTTAATTTCAAGTATGAATCCATTTTTACACCTAGGTTGGTGACAAGTTGTTTTTCAAACGGGGCCAGAGTGGAAAGATTGATGCAAGTGTTACTGTTTGTGTAGTTAGTTGGAAACAGAATGACTTCTGTTTTCTTCTCATTAAAGTTTAGGAAGTTTAAAGCCATCCAATCCCTGATGTCAGCAAGGCAGTGGGAAGAGGTTGGATGCAGTGTGGGCCAGCCTGTTTCAAAGGGAAGTAAATTTGACAGTCGTCCGCATAAAGATGAAATGGTATGCCATGTTTACGAAAAATTGCACCTAGTGGCAGTAAGAATAGGGAAAAAAGAAGTGGTCCCAGGATAGAGCCCTGTGGTACTCCCCATTGAAGTTGTGCTGATGAGTGTTAACACAGCAGTGTCTGTCTGTCAGGTAGGACTTGAACCAACTGAGGGCTGAACCTGTGATACCCACCTCCTTCTCCAGCATGGAAATGAGGATGTTGTGATCAGTGGTGTCGAAGGCTGATGTGAGGTCTAATAGCACAAGGAGGACAGATTTACCAGAGTCTAGGGCTAAAAATATGTCATTAAACACCTTCAACAGAGCAGACTCAGTGCTGTGATAGGATCTGAAGGTTGATTGAAATGTCTCCAAAATTTCGTGATCCTCCAAGAAAGGTTTTAACTGAGTGTCCATTACTTTTTCCAACAGCCTTGACAGAAATGGCAGTTTGGAGACGGGTCTAAAGTTAGACACTATGGAAGGGTCGAGGCCATTTCTTTTCAGGAGGGGCTGCACAGCTGCCTATTTAAAACTTTGTGGGACCATACCTGAAGTTCGGCTGCTGTTTATAATGTTAAGAAAAGCAGGACCCAGAGTTGGGAAAATCTCTTTTAGAAGTCGGTGGGGAACTGTATCAAAGGGGGATCCAGCTGGGTTTAAGCTGGAAAACAGTTTCTCTAAGTGGGACAGTGAGATGGGCTCAAAGTGATCAAATACTGCTGAACAAGGAGTTAAGATGGATGGATCATGAGCTGGGGGTAGGTGAGAGCCCGAGTTTGAAAAACTTTATCTATGAAGAAGGTGAGAAATTCCTCACACAGTTCAGAGGAGGCTTCCAGGTGGGCTGGTTCGTTCAGATGGAGAACAGTATTCAGAGTAGAATAGAGGATTCGGCGGTTGTGCAAGTTTGAGACAATGATGTCTGTAGGGGTCACCTCCTATGACAGGCATTATCATGATTTAACAAATGCATAAACATTCTTAGTCAAACAACAAATGAATCACGAACAGAAGAGATTGTTCTGTCCATTATCTGATTAAGAGAACTGAGGAGTTCTCTTCCACGGTTAGAATGACCTGTCATGGCCTAAATAGAGTTCAGTTTGTGACAGAGTTCCTGTCCTCTCGTCAGGCCTGTCCGAGGCCTGCTTAGAGGCAGTAAATCTTGTTTCTTCACTCGAGGTGACCCCTACATGTCTGAGAAGTATTATTTTGCAGCTCTGACAGCTTTCTGATGAGAACGCCAGCTCGGTTTTAGCGTCTCAAAAGAAACCTGCAGCTTGTCCTTTCTCCACCTCCGCTCAGCTTTACGACACTCATGCCTGAGTGCTCTAGTTTCATCATTTAACCAAGGTTCATTCCTGGACTTCAGGCGTTTAGTTTTAACTGGAGCCACTCGATAGCTTGAAACCTTTATTAGAGTTCAATATTTCAGTAAAGTGTGTGGCAGTTGAAGGGTTAATGGCCATGCTGCGTGTAGTTTGAGCGCACTGTTTAGGATGTGTACTGGGGGGATGAAACTGAATAAAACAGGCATATGGTCTGAGAAAAAGGCATCACCAATAATCAGATTAGAAACAGAAATGCCATTTGTTATGACGAGGTGTATGTCCACGTTCCTGGGTTGGAGCAGTTACAGACTATGTTAGGCTAACTGAGTCCAATAAATCTAAAAAGTCCTTCACTAAAGGCTTATCATTGCAACATACATGAATATTAAAATCGCCCTTGATTAAAAGGTGGTCATATTTAGGCATGAGTTCAACCATAAGTTCAGAGAATTCACTTATAAAGTCTTTATTGTATTTCGGTCGACGATTTTTATTTAAAACTGTTCTCCTTTCTCTCGTTTCGTCCACCATTACGAGCAGAAAAACTCTCCGGTCAGCCCGCTATACATAATGGGACTCCCTAACTCCACCGCTCTACTCCTCAAACCTAAAGAATAAACATCAGTGTTAACAAAATAAAAGCCTTTTCACTTGTCCAAACTTCACTACTTAGAAACGTAGCTGCAGTTATTAGGTGAGGAAGTCCCTGTGTTTTATGAGATACCAAACAAACTGACTCTTAGAATCTGTTTCTCTCTTTACTTGTTTTCTGCAGAAAGTCTTCACAAATGATCGTTTGACTCACTCGTGCAAAATTTAACTTGCAAAGAATCGAGGCAAATGAGTCGTTTTCAGTTTTTACGACTGACTTTCGGCTGTGTAACCTGCAGGTCCAGCAGAATTCCAGTCAGACATGCACCACAGAAACAAAACAGAGCAGTGAGGGGAGTAACGAGAAGTTAATGATAAAAGAAAAAATTGTTAATTAGTAACGGAGGTCAAGAGGGAGCACAGAAACTACACGAGTAAAAAAAATATCAAATAGTATTTTTTAAGTAAAAGAAAAACGGAGAAAACGAAAGAAAAACAGAAACAATTTGGAGAAATGAACCTGATCAATAGAAGCAAAAGAATTAAAAATAAAGCTTTGAGTTAAAACAGAAATGAGCTCCTAATTCTGTAGTTTTTTTATTTAAATGTCTTCAACAGAAACATTGCAGTTATGGATTCACAGTGGTATAATTGAGTTGTGGAGTTCCTCAGGGGTCTGTCTTCAGTCCCATTTTATTTTCATTTAACATGTTTTGATTCAGCAGTTTATTTAGAATTCCTTGCATGCAGATGACACACTTCAGTCTGTAAAACTTCCAGCTCCTAAGATTGGCCCATAAAATGCCCTATGACTCTTCAAAGAATAGGAGAAAACTCCAGAATGTTCCATGTTCTTCCCAGTTTTCCTGTAACCTTCCTGCTGTGAGCTGCAACATTTCTTCACCATTAAAATGAAACTGAAAACATCCCCTTTCAGTAAAAGTGTTTTTTTATGTCAGGTGTTTTCCAAACACCTGTTGTTATGAACATCCACCTGACCGAACCCACCTTTCCTTTTCTATCCTTTTCGTAAATGAATTTATAGCTTCGTAAAGAAAAGTGCAAAACAAGCAGTTTTCTTTGATGTTAAAACACAGCAGATCATGACTCACGTCGGCACACTTCTGCCACTACCTCTGGTTTTTCTTTGGTTTATTTATGGTCTGAGTGGTGTGCAACGCCAGCTGGCACAACTTCTGATGACAAATAAAACCAAAGCAGTTGTTTTGGTGAAATGAGACGGTCTAACTTAAGAACTTCCTGCTTGGGTGACCAGTACTTTCCTGCAGTAGAAACTAATAATCTATTTATAGCTGGAGGACGATGAACACAGTTTTACCAAACTGTGTATTTTTATTAATGTTTTATTGATTGTAAACACAGGAACATGAAGTAGATTATAGTTACGGTCATGTTAAACTTTCTCTTTAGAAACTCGTAGCTGAATATATTTACTTAACTGAGAAAATGATCAAACCAACGACCCTTTCTGTTGGAGCAGGTCTGTGAAGAGACAAAACCAGAAACTACAGGAACATGTTCAGACCACATTATGTTCAGGATGATGGTCTCTGATGGTCTCTGGTGGTAAATGGTTGCTGCACGGTGGAACAGTGGTTAGAGCCGTCACCTCTCAGAGAGAAGGTCACAGCACTGGCTTCCAGCCTGGGTGGAGTTTCTGTCCTCTCTCTGTGCATGTGTGGTTTTTCTCTAGTTTCCTCCCACAGACCAAAAACCTTAATTGTCCCCAGATGTGGGTGGCAGTGGTAATGTTTGTCTCGTTTGCCCCTGTGATGGACCTGAGACAAATCCAGGTTGACCCCTCCTCTTCCACAGTGAGTCACCAGTGACCCCTGTGAAAAACCTCTGATACTTCAAACAAAGTGCTGCTAAATTAAATCTGTGCAGCTGAGTTAATAAAACAAGAACAGAAACGATGCTGGTTTGACTCAACAGCTCCACCAACAGGACAGAGAGCTGCTGGATGAGTTTCATTGAGAGGGAATGACACTGAAGCTGTACGTGGGTCCCTCGGGTCTGCTGGGTCAGCTTCATCCACTGGATCCACTGGGTTCACTAGGTCACCTGGATCCATTGGGTTCATTGCGTCCAGTTGGTCTGCCTGGTCCATTGAACCCACTAAGTTCACTGTATAGACTGGATCCACTGGGTTCATTGCGTCCAATTGGTCCGTTTGGTCCATTGGATCCACTGGGTCCTCTGCATCCACTGGGTCAACTGGATCCACTGGGTATGCTTTATCCACTGGATCCACTGGCTTTGCTGCAGCCACTGGATTCACTAGGTCACCTGGATCCACTGTGTCTGTTGGGTCCACTAGATCCATTGGGTTTCCTGCATCCACTGCATTCACTGGGTCCACTAGATCACCTGGGTCCACCTAATCCACTGTGTCCACTGGATCCACTGGGTCCATTAGGTCACCTGGTTTCACTGGATCCATTGGGTCCGGTAGATATACTGGGTTTGCTGTGTCCACTGGGTCCACTAAGTCACTTGGGTCCATAGGATCCACTGGGTCACCTGGATTCACAGGGACTTCTAGGTCCACTGGTTCCCTTAGGGTTAACTGGATACACTGGATCACCTGGGCCTGCTGCATCTGCTTGGTCCACTGAATCTACTGGGTCACCTGGGTTCACATGGACTTCTAGGTCCACTGGTTCCCTTAGGGCTAACTGGATCCACTGGATCACCTAGGCCTGCTGCATCTGCTTGGTCCACTGAATCTACTGGGTCACATGGGTTCACATGGACTTCTAGGTCCACTGGTTCCCTTAGGGCTAACTGGATCCACTGGGCCAGCTGTATCTGCTTGGTCCACTGGATCCACTGGATCACCTGGATTCACAGGGTCTTCAAGGTCCACTAGGTCCTTTAGGGTCAACTGGATCCACTGGGCCTGCAGGATCAACTTGGTCACCTGTTTTAACATCCTGTCTTGGTGTTTCTGGTTCCCACCCTCTCTACAATCTTAAAGTTTTCCTTTCTACAAAACAGTTCATCAGATGAATCAGATGTAAGGACATTTTTCTTACCCATGGCCTCGGGCACTTTTCCATTTCCTTTTGAACGAGTATGGAAAAAAACTGGAGCCGAAGAAGATTTATCATCAACCTGTTCGGCTGCTTTGCCGTCCAGAAACCACATAAGTGATGAAATATATTTCATACCTTAAAAAAAATAATAAAAAACAGAACTCAGACATGCCGTAGGTTCCATAAACAATCTCAGCCTTGCATTTGCAAAAAGCACCAATGAAGACATTTTTTCTGACGTTAAAATATATTTTTTTCCCGTTTTGTGTTTAAGTTGAACTTCTGCCTCACATCCATGGGATAACCTCAGCAAACTGCAGCTCTGCCAGAGAACGTGTTAAAACAGCTCTTTTGGAACTTGTGACGAAGTCTGATGAAATAAAGACATTCATTTCTTTATTCTGAATCTGTCCCCTCTGGGCCTGATCCTCTGACAAACTGTAAACCACAAATACAGCAGAACTCAAAGCTGGAAAAAAAAACCCTGGTGAGAAAACGATACCCTAACCCAGACATTGTTTCTGTAAAGGTTAGTTTGGATTGAGGAAGCAGACATTCTCAGGAATCTGTGGCCTCTCTGTGGACCATAAACCCTTTCAGTTGGACTCAGATTTACTCTCAGATTTGTTAAAAACATTTCAGCCACTATCAGAATGATGGCGCTTCTCAGAGACTAACTTTCAGTTTCTTGTAAACCACTCCAAATGTTGCCCTTATTTGCCAACTTTGTTTGCGACCGGCTGGGAATTTCCCAGCTTGAGCAATTACACTAAGATAAAAGAAAGCAGATAGACCTGAACTGTCGCCCGTGTAAAGACGTTTTCAGGTGAGGCTGTGAACGGGCTGGATTCTGTCAGTAAAATAGAGCCGTATGAAATAACAGGTCCTAATTCCTCACAGGGGTTTGATGCCTGAGTTGTAATGTCTGCAACAAGTTGTGCAAACTCTGTTTTCCACTGCATTGAGTCAACCGTTTTATCTAAAGTTAACTGTAAAAACATTTGATTGTCACTTTCAGTAGTGAAACAAACCAGACAATCTGAGTCACTGTTTCCTTTTTTGTACGGATTCGTTCTTGTTGCATCGAAGCTTCTAACGTTTCTTTTTTGAACAAAAATAAAGTCGATCCCTCAGAGTAACCACTGCAGAGCCTATTTGGTGATGTAGGATAAAAAAAAATTATGTGTGTCCACGTATTATCTTGTGGCCTCACATTATTTCATTATTCTGGCACATTATCCTCTTTTGTGTGAGGTCCCGCAGGGCTCAGTTTTAGGACCCCTTCTCTTCACGCTGTCCTTGCTCCCACTCGGCTCTTAGGAAATTTGGTATCACTTTTCATTGTTACGCCGATGATACCCATATATATGTCCCTTTAACGAAAAAGGACACCAACTCTCTGAGCTCTCTGTTTTTATGTTTAGAGGAAATAAAAGCCTGGATGGCCGTGAATTTTTTAAAGTTTAATGAAAACAAAACTGAGGTGATGATCTTTGGAAGCTCCACTGAGACACCTGATGTGGATGTTGGTTCACTGTCCCAGTACATCAAGCCTTTTATTACTAATCTAGGCATAAAAGTTGATGCTGGACTTAAGTTAGAGAACCACATCAGAACAGTTGTGAAATCAAGTTTTTACCATCTGAGGCAGCTGGCTAAAATAAAGGCAATTCTCTCTCAGAAACATTTTGAGACAGTAGTCCACGCTTTTGTTACCACTCGGCTGGACTACTGTAACACACTTTATACAGGCATCAGTGAGTCCTGTATCTCACAGCTGCAGAGGGTACAAAATGTCACTGCACGTCTTTTAACTGGCACACGAAGGTTTGATCACATTTCTCCTGTTTTAGCCTCCCTGCACTGGCTGCCTGTACATTTTAGGATTTATGTTGAAGTTTTGTTATTTGCTTTTAAAGCTCTTAATGGTCTTCTCTGCCTTATCTGTCCAATCTGCTACAACCCTGCAGGCCCTCTCGATCCCTCAGGTCAGCTGATCAGCTGCTCCTGACTCTGCCCAAGACAAAGCGTGAGCTCAGAGGTGACCGTGCTTTTTCTGTGGCAGCTCCTAAATGATGGAACCACCTTCCTCTGGACATCAGACAGGCATCGTCCCTGTCTGGTTTTAAATCCCTTCTTAAAACTCATCTTTTCTCTTTGGCCTTTGAACACAATTTGTAGTGTTGTTTTTATTGTTTTATTGTAATTTTTATTGATTTTATGAATGTATGCATGTTTTATTATGTGTGCAGCACTTTGRTCCTGTGGGTGTTTAAAGTGCTCTATAAATAAAGATGGTATGGTATGGTATGGTATGGTATGGTATGGTATGGTATGGTATGGTATGGTATGGTATGGTATTATTTTTCTCATGCCCATGCATTACTTACAGGGGTTAGACAATGAAACTGAAACACCTGTCAGTTTAGTGTGGGAGGTTTCATGGCTAAATTGGACCAGCCTGGTGGCCAATCTTCATTAATTGCACAGTGCACCAGTAAGAGCAGAGTGTGAAGGTTCAATCAGCAGGGTAAGAGCACAGTTTGGATCAAAATATTGCAATGCACACAACATTATGGATGATTCACCAGAGTTAAAGTGGACAAATTGTTGGTGCACGTCTGGCTGGTGCATCTGTGACCAAGACAGAAAGTCTTTGTGATGCATCAAGAGCCACAGTATCCAGGGTAATGTCAGCATACCACCAAGAAGGACCAACCACATCCAACAGGGTTAACTGTGGACGCAAGAGGAAGCTGTCTGAAAGAGATGTTATGGTCTAAAACCAGGTGTTTCAGTTTCATTGTCTAACCCCTGTGTCTCTTGACTACATGGTATTATCTTGTGACCATGTGTTATTTTTTCCTGTTGCCGTGCATTGATATATTGTGGCCATATTATTTATCTTGTGGCCATGCCTTATTTATCTTAAGGCCACATCTTATTACCTCATGGACATCACCTTATTTATCTTGTGGCCATGTGTTATTCATGTTGTGGCCGCATGTTATATATGCTGTGGCCATGTGTGTTTTATGCTATGGCCAGTTGTTATTTATAATGTAGCCACACATTATTTATGTTGTGTCCACATTATTTTGTAGCCATGTGTTCTTTATGTTGTGGCCACATGCTATTTATGTTGTGGCCATGCATTATTTGTCTCGTTGCTACATGGTATTATCTCATGACCTTGTGTTATTTTTTCCTGTTGTCATGCATTTATATATTGAAGTCACAAATTTTTTACATCGTGGCCATGCCTTATTTATCTTAAGGCTATATATTATTATCTTATTAACATCCCCTCATTTATCTTGTGATCATGTGTTATTTACATTGTGGCCTCATGTTGTTTATGTTGTGGCCACGCAATATTATCTTGTGGTCTTGTTATTTATGTTGTGTCCACATTATTTTGTAGCCACGTGTTATATATCTTGTGGCCATGCATTAAATGTTTTTAATCTAGTGTCGCTCTGTGAACCCCAGCGGTAAAAATAGTTTTTTCTGTGGTTCTGTGACCACAGGTGGTTTCTTTAATCCTCTATGTGATCTTTAGTCCTGCTGTTCATAAAAAGGAAATAATTTAAAATGTTAATTTTTTTTTTGCATAAATTCCCTTTAATTCTTAAAAAGCTCCATTTTTCCCTCGTTGCTGATGGGCCATGAAGTTTTTGCTCACGTCTCTGTGTTTCTGATCTTAGAAACACAAAAACTGTAAAAAGTGACCGTCATTCAGAGAATTAGTTTTGGTTTAATTCTGAGATTTGTGACGTCTTTGTTAAAACTAGAGGACAGTTTAATTTCCCTCTGAAATGTTTGTGTGTAGCCTGGCCCTTGCCTTCCTACGCAGTTCCGCTCAATTCTGGTTTCCCTGAAGAACAAGGGTCTGGTTTTTACCAGGCCAGTTTGTGTGAGGTCCACCAGCAAAACTTTCACTTTGAGAAACAAAATGTTTTATTGTTGTTTCTGGAAACTCGTCATTTTTTTATTTATTAGGTTTTTATGACTTCTGTTAAATAGCAGTCCTGACTGAAAATACTGCGCTGTGGGGAAACCACACAGGAAGCTGGAAGAACCATCGGTCTTTGCTCCTGAGGTCATGGCGCAGACCAGAGAGAGGCTTTTATTTTCACGGGGTCAGGAGGACTTCCTGTTTTCCAGCACTGAAATGTAGATATTTCCAGAAATGTTTGGTGGCATGAAAGGTCCTCACTGTGCAGAAATTAAAACGAAACCATGAATACAGTTTCAGATAAACTCTTCTTATTATCTAAAATGATGCAAAGACGTCCACTGACTGAACATCTGATCCTGTCGGCTGTTTGTGTTGTGTTTGTGTTTGTGTTGGGTCTGATTTCCTGCTCACAAAAAGAGGAAACAAGGAAAACTCTTCATGATGTGAGAAGGATGTTTCCTGCAGCAGAGCTGAAACAGACAGAAAAGCTGAAGTGAAGAAGGAGGTGAGGTTTCAGATCAGACACAATCCAAACATTTACTCTGGCATGCTGGTGATGAACTACTGTTAGCTGACTTTTTAAAACCGTCTCTTGTGTTTCCTGGCCAAGTTTCTAGAAAAGGTTGTGGTCCAGCAGCTGCTCTCGATCAGCAGTTTGCTGGACCTCTTTCAGTCGGGGTTTTGCAAATCTCACTCAACTGAAACAGCTGTTCTTAGAGTCTCAAACGACATTTTAAGGCAGCGTGATAAAGGAAATCGCTTTTGTTGGACCTGTCATCAGCTTCTGACACTGTTGACCATCAGACCCTGTTAGACTGAGGAGTTGTGCTGGGATCTCAGGTGCTGCTTCAAAATGGTTGTCCTCTGATTTATCTGACAGATCAAACTTTCTGGCGTCAATATGTTGACGTGGGGGGGGGGGGGTAGCTCCCGCTCGCCCCTTCTTTACGAGATGAGGCGGAGGAGAACGAGTCCATGAACACAGACCCTAAAATTAACCATTTTTGTCCCAGACCCTGAATTTAACCAATAGAAGCTACTGTATGTACAGCCCATCCCTGACCCCAGTCTCTCAAACTAACCATTAATCCTGATCCCTCATGTTCACCTCAGACCCGGAAAAGCCACGGGCGGCAAGGACGGACGCGCGGGGGGTACCCCTCGTGTCAACATGTTGACGCTTGGGCACGGAGTCCGACATGAGAATGTGTTAACAGATCCCATTCCTGCCCTGTTCATTTTGGTGTTCCACAGGGCTCTGTTTTGGGGCCACTGTTGTTTCTGCTTTACATTATTCCCATTGGTTCGATCCTGTCATCTTTTGAGATTTCCTATCATTGTTATGCTGATGATATTCAGTTGTACGTCTCATTTTCTCCACATGAAGTTACGAAAGTGTGCCTTTTACTACAATGTTTAGATTCAGTAAAGATGACTGAGAGTTTTCTTCAGTTAAATGAAGGAAAAACAGAAGTTAACATATTTTCACCAGAAAAAATAACTCCAGAGATAAAGCAGATCTTTGGCCCTCTTGGGAGTTTGGCTAAATCTTCAGTCAGAAACCTTGAGATAAGTTTTGACTGGTTTTAATCTGGATCATCATGTTAAATCTTTGGTTTATTTATGACTTTGCAAAAAAACTGTTCTTTCTTTTCTTGTAAAAGGCTAAATAAAACAAAAATATTGGTGTTAATTTTTGACCGTGTAACTTTACAAACTGCACCCCATATCAGTTTGTTTAAAATCAGATTTCACCTGAATCAACAGAAACCAGAGAGGACATGGTTCTTCTTTCAGACGTGTTTGATGAGAACAGAAGCAGCAACAAAGACATGTTAAAAAACATAATAAAGTTTATTTTCATAATATAAAATAATCACATTTTGTCAGGATCAAAGCAGTTAAAGAAATGTCTTTTCAACAGCTTACAGTACGGTGATAATCAGTTTCCAGGCAAGTGGAGGCAGCTTTAAATAACAGCTTCACACAGAAGAAAAATACAAAGATTTTACACCACCAAGGTAGAAAATATTTCAGAACAGAAAATCATAAATAAGATGCTTTCTCTCCAGATGAAGACCACCCTGAGCTGATCTGTGAGGTGGGAGCTGCAGGAGCAGAGACAGGAACAGGTGAGTGAACGGCTCAGCGTCTGCATCCTGCAGGAAAATACGATCAGTTTTACCTGCTCGTTCCTACTGCTGGGCTCTTTTCTCCAGAACCCTGATGAGCTTCTGGACCCACTTGTCCTGGTCGGGGTGGGCCACGCACAGCTTCATGTTCTTATTGTTGATGAAGCTGCAGATCAAACACACAGTCAGAAACTCAGAGTGTCTCTGATGGAGGAGGCAGGTGTGTGTGTGTGTGTGTGTGTGTGTGTGTGTGTGTGTGTGTGTGTGTGTGTG